ATTTCTAGAAAGCATATAGGGTTATTTGAAAGGTGTTTTTCAATAGAAAACCTGGATTAAGCTACTTGAACATTGAGCATCAAGATCTATAAGGATAGATCAAAATGCTTAATAGTACTTTCAAATGAGCACATACCTTGACATGATCTTGAAGGTGTTCAAGATGGATCAGTCAAAGAAGAAGTTCTTGCCTGAGTTGTAAGGTACGAAGTTAAGACTTAAAGCTCGACCACGGCAGAAGAGAGAGAAAGGACGAAGGCCGTCCCCTATGCTTCAGACGTAGGCTCTATAGTATGCTGTGCTGTGTACCGCACCTGAAGTGTGCCTTGCCATGAGTCAGTCAAGGGGTACAAGAGTGATCCAAGAATGGATCACAGGACAGCGGTCAAAGTTATCCTTAGTAACTAGTAGACTAAGGAATTTTTCTCGATTATGGAGGTGGTAAAAGAGTTCGTCGTAAAGGGTTACGTCGATGCAAGCTTAACACCTATCCGGACAGCTCTGAGTAGAGATACCGGATACATATAATGGAGCAACAATTTAGAATAGCTCCAAGTAGAACAGTTATTTGGATTAGCTCCAAATAGAGCGTGGTAGCTACATCTAGGAGATGACATAGAGATTTGTAAAACACACACGGATCTGAAAGGTTCAGACCCGTTGACTAAAACCTCTCTCACAAGCAACATGATCAAACATAAAACTCATTGAGTGTTAATCACATAGTGATGTGAACTAGACTACTGACTCTAGTAAACTCTTGGGTATTAGTCACATGGCGATGTGACCTGTGAGTGTTAATCACATGGCGATGTGAACTAGATTATTGACTCTAGTGCAAGTGGGAGACTGTTGGAAATATGCCCTAGAGGCAATAATAAAAGTGTTATTATTATATTTCCTTGTTCATGATAATTGTCTTTTATTCATGCTATAACTGTATTATCCGGAAATCGTAATACATGTGTGAATACATAGACCACAATATGTCCCTAGTGAGCCTCTAGTTGACTAGCTCGTTGTGATCAACAGATAGTCATGGTTTCCTGGCTATGGACATTGGATGTCGTTGATAACGGGATCACATCATTAGGAGAATGATGTGATGGACAAGACCCAATCCTAAGCCTAGCACAAAGATCGTGTAGTTCGTTTGCTAAAGCTTTGCCAATGTCAAGTATCTCTTCCTTCGACCATGAGAGCGTGTAACTCCTGGATACCGTAGGAGTGCTTTGGGTGTATCAAACGTCACAACGTAACTGGGTGACTATAAAGGTGCACTACAGGTATCTCCGAAAGTATCTATTGTTTTATGCGGATCGAGACTGGGATTTGTCACTCCGTGTAAACGGAGAGGTATCTCTGGGCCCACTCGGTAGGACATCATCATATGCGCAATGTGACCAAGGAGTTGATCACGGGATGATGTGTTACGGAACGAGTAAAGTGACTTGCCGGTAACGAGATTGAACAAGGTATTGGATACCGACGATCGAATCTCGGGCAAGTAACATATCGATAGACAAAGGGAATTGAATACGGGATTGATTAAGTCCTTGACATCGTGGTTCATCCGATGAGATCATCGTGGAACATGTGGGAGCCATCATGGGTATCCAGATCCCGCTGTTGGTTATTGACCGGAGAACGTCTCGGTCATGTCTGCATGTCTCCCGAACCCGTAGGGTCTACACACTTAAGGTTCGATGACGCTAGGGTTATAAAGGAAGCTTGTATGTGGTTACCGAATGTTGTTCGGAGTCCCGGATGAGATCCCGGACGTCACGAGGAGTTCCGGAATGGTCCGGAGGTAAAGATTTATATATAGGAAGTCCTGTTTCGGCCATCGGGACAAGTTTCGGGGTCATCGGTATTGTACCGGGACCACCGGAAGGGTCCCGGGGGCCCACCGGGTGGGGCCACCTGCCCCGGAGGGCCACATGGGATGTAGGGGGTGCGCCTTGGCCTACATGGGCCAAGGGCACCAGCCCCTAGAGGCCCATGCGCCAAGATAAAGGAAAAAGGGGAGAGTCCTAAAGGGGGAAGGCACCTCCGAGGTGCCTTGGGGAGGATGGACTCCTCCCCCCTCCTTAGCCGCACCCCTTTCTTGGAGTAGGGGGCAAGGCTGCGCCTCCCCCTTCTCCCCTGCCCCTATATATAGTGGAGGGGAGGGAGGGCATCCATACCTGAGCCCTTGGCGCCTCCCTCCCTCCCGTGACACCTCCTCCTCTCCCGTAGGTGCTTGGCGAAGCCCTGCAGGATTGCCACGCTCCTCCATCACCACCACGCCGTTGTGCTGCTGCTGGATGGAGTCTTCCTCAACCTCTCCCTCTCTCCTTGCTGGATCAAGGCGTGGGAGACGTCACCGGGCTGTACGTGTGTTGAACGCGGAGGTGCCGTCCGTTCGGCACTTGATCATCGGTGATTTGAATCACGACGAGTACGACTCCATCAACCCCGTTCACTTGAACGCTTCCGCTTAGCGATCTACAAGGGTATGTAGATGCACTCTCTTTCTACTCGTTGCTGGTCTCTCCATAGATAGATCTTGGTGATTCGTAGGAAATTTTTTTTGAATTTCTGCTACGTTACCCAACAGGTCCGCCTCTGTCTCGGGGTTGTGTCTGCCTCCTCATTTGGTAGCTATGCGGTGACCTTCAGGGCACGGTTGTTTTGACCATTCTCTTTTACGATTGCGTAACCAGATGGATTACTAATTGTAGCACATAAATCCCGTTTCATTAGCATATTTAGCGCATAACCAGACATCATTGTCCCTTCTTTATTAGGGTTTATTCTTTTTGATTATTTTAGCACTAACGTGCCCAATTTTTTTTATTCGAGCCAAACCAACATATTCTTTTTTATTCGCCCAAGAAAAAAATTTCTCCCTCGGACGACCTAGTAGGGGAGTGCGGCTAAGGCCTAATATTGCCTTTGCAATGAAGCAATTTTTTTCTTAGGCCAACTGCGCGGGGCTACTATATGAAGCTAGTTGCGTAAAATAGCGCGTGAAACGTACATCAGTTCGAGTATGGGCCAACACACTGGTAGGCTCCAAGACGACCTGTATTTGTAAGGCGCGAAACAATCCCAAAAATGATGAGTTGAAGGATTGAAATCTTGACCTCAAAGACCCGATTACGTGCTGCTAGCCACTTGAAGACACGAGTCCTACCAACCAATGGCCAACTCAAAGATTTAAGATCATACTCCAATTCAGCTTGGTAAAAATAATTTACTTTAAAAAATATACAAATTGCTGAATATTCTTGAAAACATGAATAATTTTGAAAATCCCAAACCATTTTTTGTCATTCTTTACATTTTTTCAGAAATACACAACAAAATTTGAAACGTTCGAAATTCACAATTTTATTTGAAAACATGAACCTTTTATAATAACATGAATAGTTTTTGAATTTGTGATTGTTTTTTAAGAAGGAAACACTGAACACTCAGAACAATTTTAAAAAATATTTTTCTTTAAACTCAGACATTATTCTGAATTTGCGAACATTTCTCTAAAACATGAATATTTTTCATATTTGGAATATTTTTAAAATGCTACTTTTTTGGAAAATCTCAAATAACTTTGGAAAACACAAAGAAAAAAAATGGATTTTTTTAAAAATCTGAACCAATATTGGAAGGAGAACAAAGATCTAGTGTTCTGAACGTTTTGCAAAACATAATATATTTTAAAATTTTGTGCATTTTGTAAAAAATATGATTTTTCTGAAATTATGAACTTTTAAAAAAATTGAATTTAATGAACAAGGGAGAAATAAAAATAAACTTGAAAGAAAAAAGACAAAAGAAATAGAAAAGAAAAGGAGAAAGAAACGAAAAAAGAAAAACAGAAACGTAAGACAGAACAAAAGGAAAAAATGGTTCAAGCCAACTTGGGCACTCTATGCAAATTTGCGACTATTTTGGAATGAGAACAAAGATGTAATGTTTTGAACATTTTTCAAAATGGAATATATTGCAAAATTCTGAACATTTTTTAAAAATTGAAATTTCCTGATATTAAAAACTTTTTCTGAAAAAATAGTATACGAAAAAGGGACAAAGAAAAATAAAATTCAAAGGAAAAAAGGCAAAAGAAACAGGAAAGAAAAAGGGAATAAAGAAAAATAGAAACATAGAAACATAACTCAGAACAAAGTAAAAGAAAACGGGTTAGCCCAGCTTGGTGGCCATGTGCGAATTAGCGGCTATTTGACGCTCACAGCAATAAATAGAGTTTTGCTACCTACATGCGTACGAAAATAAACGGGCTGGCTTTGCTGGGCCACGCTGCTGGCGGCGCATGTACGAAATTCTTGCGTTTTTCCTTTTTTAATAGAGAGCGGACAAAAATTTAGTACCACCTCGAATAGAAAAAAACTATTCAATGGTGAACGGATGAAAAAATTGGAGAAACGCACCTTGCTTTATTAGTACTAGTAAGCGTGCACATGCAATGCACGTCTCTACCAAAGTTGATCATGAAATTCAAGTGTGTATTCAATTCTGAATTCAATGGTCTATATTTTTTTTAAATAAAAGAGAATGACTATAGTGTATGATGATCCCGGCCACTCAAGGTCATATAGTGAGAAGTTTAATACAAACGCATCAATTGTCTTTTGAGGATGTCATGTGAAGTTTAAATAGACCAAAAAGAAATCAAAATCCAAGAAGAAATCAAAATCGTACAGTGAAGATTTCAGATTGTCTAATTTATTGTGTGAACTTGAAAGGAGTTATAGTACATACAAGCTTTGTCGATATGAAGATGGCAGAGATGCAAACTTTGAACCAAAGATATACAAACAGTGCAGTCTTGGAAAAACTAAATTTGTTCCCTCTTGGATTCAGGCTACATGTTATCTTCAGAATTTGAATTAATGGGGTCGACTACAGCAACGCCCATGGGAGTCATAACAGGCACCAATTGTAAGCTTGAAGAGTCTGTCGGTAATCAGGACCATCTTTGCCCCGTTCTGAGTCTCTCATCTTCTGGAGTGCAACATTCATGAACAAAAAAAATAAGAAAGGAAATTTAAGATTTTCTGTATGACATAGATGACATGCAAGTCACACTTCCTATTAAGTTAATCTTAGTTCTGGCAAGATTAATCATGAATTAAATTTATTCTATCAACCCTCAACAGTGGAGAAATGTCTACTATTCCAGAATTTCCAAATTGTACAATAAGGAAGTAGCCATGAGTAGATCATGCGCTAGAATAATCATTGTTTCACAAAGCTAACCAGGAAAGAAAAAAATCCACACTAAATCTAGGAAGACCAAAGCCACGCGACAAGACCTTCCTAATGAGATGAATATACCCTCAAGAAAATAAATCATAACAAAATTTTCACGAAATAAGTAACTTAAAATGCTAAAAATGAAGATACTGCATAATGCCATGCGGCTATTAGTAGAGATGTGAAAATCCATTTGAAGCAACCTCATGTTAGTTTACTTCGTGGAAAAGAAACTCAAAACAAGTCAAGTGTGTAGGTGCATGGCAGTTCAAGTGTATAGGTGTCTAATAACACCGTCAAAGGATTATATAGCCAAACTAATTCATGATTCATATAACTAAAACAATCTAGTGTAAGCTTTCATGTTGCGAAGAGCACAATCATATATCATCACACCACTGAACTACACCTTGGAGCCTGGGAAACAATGCTTCTACTGCATTTCTTTCTTTGTCATCCTAAGAAAAAAAGCGAGATCAAAATCGAAACTGACAATTATTCCAAGATAACTTCTTTAGCACAGATCAAATGGAAAATTACAATATCTTTATTTTCTTGACACACATCTCATCAATGAAAAGTTCCATGCTATCTTATTCTCTCTTACTAAATCATGTGGTGTTTCACAGTATGTATGATAATTCAATCCTCATTACATAATTACAATAGATTTTGTTTGTTATAAGAAATAAAAGTACAATCAACTGTAATTAAGCATTATATGAAACAAAAAAATCAAGTGGGGTCAAACCAAGATAGCACTAAGGCATTTGTATGAGCACAAAAATCCACCAAGTGGATAAGAACAGCTGGCATTGTACTGACACGGTGGCACCTAGTCACTCACCCCTATAGGGATACTAAGCAAGAATACCGAATATTGCAAGATGTTTTAAAAAACATTCTGTACAGCTCAAAAAAAAATTGAAACTTTTTATAACCATGCATACACACATATACTACATATGTGCAAAAATTCATAACATTTTGCTTTCCCACGTGGCGTACAAAAAAAAGACAAATATGTATGTTCAAATGGGCCAGAATTTTTTGTTTTGGGGCCGGAATTTTTTTTGTAAAGCTTACAAATTACATTTTTTTCAATTTTTTTCCATAGATCGGTAGTGAACTCATACATTCCACAATATTATTTTTGATTTTTTTTGAAACTCTTAATATGGTTTTTGCTTTTTTCAAAAAAAGGGCACCATGGTGCCCGAGCACACAAACTTCACACTCGCAAGAGGACATGCTACTTGGAAAACAAAGAAAAAGGAAGTAAATCAGAACTAAAATAATCTCAAGTGGAGAGCTGAACGACAAAGTCAACAGCCTGCTATCTGTTGATAAATAAGAGGACGGCCTAATTCTGGAACGGTTGGGTCTGCACAGCCGAAGTCAATGCCTTTTCCTTTTCCCACATAAATTTATAAAAAAAATGAGATAAAACCAATATACATATTTTGATTAAGCTTCCACAATCCGATTTGTGGACCCTAACAGCTTAGGATGCCCCCTTACATATGTTGACTGTATGAATAGGCTCGTGACAGATTGTTTTTCTTTTACGGATCAAGTCTTTACCATGGTGCTTTGTTCCTTCCAGCAACTACTTGACCACACTATAGTTCTCGAGTGACCAAACTAAATTGAGATGTTTGAAACAACAAAACGGTAAGCAACACACCTGAAGCACATCATGATGTGAGATCGATCATCTGCCAATTCTCTGCCTTTTGCTTGTCGAAGAGCTGTGGTAGCATGTTGCTGGAGGTCCAACAGTAGTACATCACTCTGTTGGCTGAGACATGCATCAACATCCATCACACCTATCGGGCTTTGTGGCACAGAGAACATTGACGATCCTGTTGAATATAGGACAATGGTTCCCATTGCTATCTTGTCTTGAATCAATTCATTGATGCAACCAAACCTTTTCAATCTGCAATACATCATAAGCCTTGTTGGTTGATGCAGCCAAACCAAATACAATACATCCTAAGCCAAGTCGGTTGATACACCATAAATCGGCTGCAACTCCAAATAAGAAAATGTTCAGAGAGAAAAAGAAAGCAATGAAATTGAGATCAGCGTTCTTGCCTGCATATTGTCAATTTCCTCCGGGTCTTGTTGATGCCTTTGAGAACTCTAAGCACTTCACGCGGAGGAAAGAAACATTCAGGCAAGTCTCCATCACTACAACAGTACATCCACTAAGTTAAAAAAAGGTTTCGAACTCACCTCCATGGCAAACTCAAAGGAAAATAATGTACTCACGCAGCTTTAAAGTAGGCATTTCCGAAATGAAAATCAAAATTGAATTAGAACACAACTTACAAAATTAAGGTTATTGGAAGAAAAATACGACCAAATTCATGAAATTCTCATAACATTTGTACTCTGAATGACAACAGAAAAAAGGAAAGAAGAAATGAATAACAATAATTGGAAGGATACAACAACATATGCTTTAAATAGAATTAGCTAGTTAAGTCTGCAAGAAGAACATACGAAGCTAGCATGGCTCTAGCAACTAACAAAGTACAATTTAGGCAAGCACGCCAGACCAGCTACAGACCATTTAATCGCCAGTGTTGAAAGACATAACTCTGAAACGCAGACCTACACATCTCCTTGCGTCCTCAGCTATCTGTGTACCTTCCCTTTGTCCGGATGGTCTTCTTCATGTTGTAGGGGCCACCGCCCTTGGGGCTCACTGGCGCGTTTGCCATTAGCTGCTGCTCCTCCTACACCACATCTCCAACCATGATAAAAAAGGCAAACGATTCAAGTTCGAGTTAGTCAAGGAGTGACTTGATTCTTATGGAATCACTCAAATGATATGATCCCTCTTTGCAGATGCAAATAAGATCTTTCAGCATTGTACAATTCTTCTTTATACAAGTACTCAACTACTCGTGAGAGTTAAACTACGCATCCATGCACCGTCTCTTTGCAGCATTGTGACAACAAGTGGCACTTGTAGTAGGAAAACATATGCAGTGTTAAGAACTACTGGTATGACAATTTTATAGTATGATAAAATCAATGCAGAAAATGAACAGACCATATAATTAAGCTGAATCTAAATGAATTTGGTCAGACATTAGATAAATTTTCTGGACAATCTAATCCAAATGTGTCGAGAACATCCTAATACAAGTACTTTTGGTAGAACAAAGGAATTCAAAAAGCCTCAAGCCAGTTACACTCGTCGCGATCTTGTGCACCACCTTCTTCTTTCTGATCCACAACCAAAGGTGTCACATTAGCAGGGTAAATCCCAAGCTTTCATGGAGCACTCACGACAATCGAGGTCGAGACCTACCGGTTTAATCAGTTTCAGGTGGTCATGATGATTGACAAACTAACTCCCTTGAAGCAAAAAAGAATGGATTACAGATAGTATGATCAATCAGAATGTCAGATTTCTAACTTTTGGTTATAGTTTACCCTATTCCGGTAGAGTTAGATAAATTCGGACTGAAATGTCAAAGTTATGGTTTTGCTCGGGAGGACGTTGATTATCACCGGTGTTCGTCAGGTCCTAAAACGGGGCACGCTCAGACTGAAATGGATCTGCGCCTGGTTGGTCATTCATCTGCAACGAATGTTACAAATGTGAAACTGCACATGCACCAAATCCTGAAGAAAATGCAAAGACCTAGTATGAGACATCAGTTCAACATGAGAAGAAGCGCACACGCAGAGTTCATGAGGGACATGAGAATAACTATACACAGAATCTAATTTCTTAATTTTCAACAAAACGGGAATTCCAGCCATAGCCTTCAGTATTTAAAATTTGGCGCATGGCGTATCAAATCAAAAAGAAAAAGCTCGAAGCAAAGGAACTTACCGATGAGGTATGTGATGAAGTCGTGGCCGACAGACGGGCGCCGCGCGGCATAGGAGATGCGGCAGGGCGGGGCCGGCAGGCAGGCGCCGTGATCCACACGAGATGGCGGAGGGCGGGCCGGAGGCCAGCGTTGTAGGAGAGGCGCACGGGCGGGCCAGGCCGATGGCGAGCGGTGCGAAGGGAGGTTGCACTGGTTATACAGGAGACGGCGGAAGGGCGGATCCGGCGGCAGGTGTCGTGCGCCATAGGAGAGGCAGACGGGCAGGCCGACGTCGAGCGGGGCGAAGGGAGGTTACGCCGGCGGCGGGCGTCGTACTCTGTGGGAGAGACCCGGAGGCAAAGGGAGCACATCGGTGGGGAGGGATGCGGGGCAGCGGAGGTCAACGGGAGATAGACATGGACGGCGTCGGAGGCCCGCCCCGTTGGGAGGAGGAGAGGCGGGCAGCCACCAGGGGAATCCTGCCACCAGGTCGTGGCGCGGGTGTGGCGGTTTCTTTTCCAGAAACGTCCGGTGGATGGATTAGTGATCGATGGTGCGGGCGTGGCTTAATCGTGTGGCTTGCTGCGTTAAACACGAAGATAATTTAGACCTTGGGATCTAGTGGATAGACGGTTCTGGTTATTTGGGTGTAGTAGATAGATAAAAAAAGTAGGTATAGGTATAGGTATAGGTATAGATAAGAAAAAACAACACGCGTCACGATATATACTAAGTCTTAGTATATATAAGGCGTAGATAGCCAAGCATATCAATATGTGCCTCGGTAATAAAAATATTTATACCAGCTTAATCTCTATGACCATGCCTCGCTCATCAAACAAGTTGTAGTATTTCTTTCCAACACGAACGATCATGCATTGCAACAATTGTTTTCAAATAAACACACATCGAATCAGTATTTATTTTCTCGAGTTGGTAATCATCCAAGTAGTACTCCCTCTGTAAACAAATATACTTATATTTGTTTACAGAGGGAGTAGATAGATTGTCCAGACCGATCTGGCTTTAAAAATTCAATGCTTGAAATACAAAAATACTTACGGTGATAAACAACCTGATGGCCCGACTAGATGCCTCTGCACTACGACAGCCGGCGGGAACCATGGCTTAATCACGGCCGTGTCCTGGTTTCGTCCTCTACCGGTGCATGCGCGCGGATGGAGAGCAGCGGCAATCAAGTACAAAGTTATGATCGACTTGTTGGAATTATGTGTCCTGCAACTATATTCAAATTACTAGGAATTACTAATATTCGGAATACCTCATTATGGAATTATACATGTATTTATGCATGGAATTACTGTACATCATTATCATGGAATTATCACTTGTTGGAATGAACTTAAGCTGTTTGCTTAAGGAAGCTGGTCGATTATCAGTGGAATACAATATACTATTTATATTGGAAAGACTACCCGGGTACAGTGATAATCGGAAGGAGCTAGATCATATAGTTAGATTACAGCCCTAATGTTGGTCTACATAACTAGAGGAATTTACACTCTATTATGGCGCGTTGCTCACAAGCGCGTGCTCCGGGGACATGACGGGTAGAATCCGTTAACAGACAAATATGATCGTGGTTGGTAATTTGATCTGGACTCTATCCCGGAAACTAGTGGAAACGACTAGGAATCTTATATCTGTATAAGAGGTGGACTCTTTGGAAAGACAATATAAGAAGGTCCCTACCCCCTAGCCTCAGATATGCGAATTGTGAGCGGCACCACGGATAAGCGCAGAGGAATAGGGGGTAGACCAAAAACCTAAATTTCTTACATTGGCATCGGAGCTAGGTTGAAGGTGGCCGCCACTATCCTAATCCGTCCTGCAACTCTGCCGTTGAGGTGGACGGCTGCCATCCGGATACAACCCGCTGCGTATCGTTCTGTCCCCGCGTGCGTCTAGTGCATGATCTACCGCTTCTTCCTGGTCGCACTCCTGCGGCGCGTCAAGCGGGTGCTAGCCGCGGCAGAATCCCAGGTGCTTCTGTGTTCGGGGCTATGCGTTCGATCGTCCCGGAAAAGTGACACGGATCGAGGACTGCTGGTACATCTTGCATGCCCGTGGATCGTGAAGGCCCGTAATCCCACTACTTCAAACTGCCGCCGGCCGGCCGCGGCCGTGAACCTCTGTCGCCGTTGTAGCCATCGCCATCCACAAATAATCCGCTGTGTCCGCTGCTGTCGATTGATGTGCTGACTGCTCAGTGCTGCACGCATACGCTGCTCGCACTTAACGCGGCTAGTATGCGATTATATCGCATGCGTGTTCCCTGATGCAGCGCGAGGAAAGTCAGGTTCGAGTGATCAACCAATAAAGGAGTACATCTGGATCGCTCTCAAAGCGCATGTTGATCAAGGAAGGCTAGTGTCCTTGGCTGTTTTGTTTCTTTGCGCGAGCGGATCGAGAGTAATAGTGCTGATTGTACATTAGTACTACGGATTGCAAAGAGCCAAAGAGGTGCACAAGTGATCACATACACGTCAATTCTTGCTGGATTTCTTTGTTCTACTGCTGGAGGAAGTGTTGCGTCGTCATGAAGAGAGAAGTTTCGGTTCCAGCAAAGTACATTACCCTCATCAAGGACATGTACGATAATGTTGTGACAAGTGTTCGAACAAGTGATGTCGACACCGATGACTTCCCGATTAAGATAGGACTGCATCAGGGGTCAGCTTTGAGCCCTTATCTTTTTGCATTGGTGATGGATGAGGTCACAGGGGATATAGTAGGAGATATCCCATGGTGTATGCTCTTTGCGGATGATGTGGTGCTAGTTGACGATAGTCGGACGGGGGTAAATAGGAAGTTAGAGTTATGGAGACAAACCTTGAAATCGAAAGGGTTTAGGCTTAGTAGAACTAAAACCGAGTACATGATGTGCGGTTTCAGTACTACTAGGTGTGAGGAGGAGGAGGTTAGCCTTGATGGCCAGGTGGTACCTCGGAAGGACACCTTTCGATATTTGGGGTCAATGTTGCAGGAGGATGGGGGTATTGATGAAGATGTGAACCATCGAATCAAAGCCGGATGGATGAAGTGGCGCCAAACTTCTGGCATTCTCTATGACAAGAGAGTGCCACAAAAGCTAAAAGGCAAGTTCTACAGGACGGCGGTTCGACCCGCAATGTTGTATGGCGCGGAGTGTTGGCCCACTAAAAGGCGACATGTTCAACAGTTAGGTGTGGCGGAGATGCGTATGTTGAGATGGATGTGTGGCCACACGAGGAAGGATCGAGTCCGGAATGATGATATACGAGATAGAGTTGGGGTAGCACCTATTGAGGAGAAGCTTGTCCAACATCGTCTGAGATGGTTTGGGCATATTCAGCGTAGGCCTCCAGAAGCTCCAGTGCATAGCGGACGGCTAAAGCGTGCGGAGAATGTCAAGAGAGGGCGGGGTCGACCGAATTTGACATGGGAGGAGTCCGTTAAGAGAGACCTGAAGGTTGGAGTATCGACAAAGAGCTAGCTATGGACAGGGGTGCGTGGAAGCTTGCTATCCATGTGCCAGAGCCATGAGTTGGTTGCGAGATCTTATGGGTTTCACCTCTAGCCTACCCCAACTTGTTTGGGACTAAAGGCTTTGTTGTTGTTGTTGTTGTTGTTGTTGAGGCTTGTCGCTGGGGTTTTTTGGCAGGCTGCAGGCCTTATTTGACTATTGATGCCACTTTTCTCACATGGAGGTTTAAAGGACAGTTAGTAGTAGCTTGTGCAGTTGATGCACACAATTTTGTATTTCCAGTTGCCTACGGTGTGCTGGAGACACAGTCTGAGGAGAGTTGGGCTTGGTTTTTGCATAATCTGCGCCGGGCTATTGCACATCCCAATGGGTTGGTCATTCATACAGATACCTGCAAAGGTTTAGA